CGGCGGGCAGCCAGCCATTTGGAGCTGCTCTGCCCCCAGCTTCCCGGATTCAGGCGGGGGGGGGAAAGCCGGGGGCAGAGCAGCTGGAGTGCTGCCGGGTGGTCCCGTAGCGCTGCCCCTCGGTGCTGCGGGACCAACCCGGCAGCACCCCTGCTGCTCTGCTCCACAGCTTCCCCAAGTCCGCCACTGGTCAGTTTCAGCAGCGGACTTGAGGAAGAAGCGCAGCGGACTTGAGGAAGAAGCGCGGAGCAGCTCCTATTGTCCGGCTGGCCGGAGCACTTCCAGGTTCCAGTTGATGCTGGACTATGTGGAGTGCCGGACCACTGGATGGTGGACAATTGGAGTTTTACTGTATTTGTTTCCATATACCCTGAGAATTCGTCAACCTTATTGCCTTGGTTCATTTTTAAAAATTGTAAATTATATACAATTTTGTAGTTAGAACAGATCTGTAATGCTGTGATGATCTCTGGTTCCTATCCAATCACTTTGGCTACACAATGTAATTTAATGAATCTTTTTGCAGTTTGAGAGCAGTTAAAAATCTATTTTCAGTGGCTCACTCTATGTATAGAGTAGCATACGTTGAAAGATCTGCTTCTTTTTTAAATTACTACCATTAATACTATGAAATACAAGCTAGCAGAAGATGGATGAAATTTTATTTATTGTATCTCTTTATTAGTATGAGACTTACTTTAAAAAATATAACAGAAAATTGCACCAGGTTCGAAAGACCAAAGCAGAAGAACCAGTATTTAAATTAATTTTAAATTATAAATGATAACTCTGTCCCTCTCTTAGATCATAAAATAGGGTGAGTGCAGAAACAGTTCTTTTGAGATTTGAAGATGCTATGTCTTGGTAACCTCATTCATTAAACACACAAGTTAACCAGCTGTTAGCTCCCTGGAGGAGCATTTGAGAAGGTAGGGTCTAGTTGGTAGGGCATTGGTCTGAACATAGAGGTCTGGCTGGCAAGCTGGTAGATCTTTGGCAAGGCACAGTTTTTAGGTATCTCAGTTTTCCCATCTGTAAAATGGGAATAAAACTCTTTTTTTTTGTTTAAGTTCTCTAATGTATGAAGATGAAAAGTTTTTATATAAAAGAGAGGTATTATTGTTTAATCTAAGCACTTTCATTCCACACCCAGGACAAGCCTGGGGGTTTGCTTCTCTCCAAGCAAAGGATCTATCCATACAGTTTAACTAATACGTCATTCCTTTTAGAAAAACTTTCAGAATCTTCATCCAACTATTTTACTTAGTAATTTGCATGTGGCTACTTGATGGCACATACTTACTAAACTCTTAATGAGTGTCTTTAAGTTTTGATGCTCCCCAAAATCTCAGCATCAAGTTCTAAAATTAGTGCCAAAAGGCTCTCTGTTTACGTATTTTGTCAAATTCAATATCCTTACTAGGAATATACTTATTGGGTGATGTTTACCAGATAATGGTTAGTTGGTTCCCTGGGAGCAGCACCTCGCCCCGCACCGGACCAGGGACTACTCCAGATGGGCTGGAGCTGTTCAGCACCCCGGATCCTGCTTAGTCGGATAACGAGTTAAATATTTGATTAACCTAATATTTAACCAGTTGATTGTTTAATCAGGATTTTACATCCCTAATTCTTAGTGCTATATAAGTTATGAATGCCCATTTTAAAGTGGATAGTCAAGTAGCTTCTCCTTCAATATATCTTCTCATATGCACCATAAATATATAATCCATACAGGATTTTATCTTTCCAAATGGCTTCCCCCACTTTAGTAGTAACTTAAAAATTGGAATGCCATTTCTTACATTAGAAAAGTAACTTATATTGTAAAAATGTTTCAGAGTGGCTGTCTATTTCCATTTATAGTGCCAGGCATGTTTTTGTATTATATATAAATGATATTATTTTGGACAAAATGGAGGATAAAACGATATACAGAACACTCTGTATTTATACTTTCAGCTTTGAATGTTGAAGCATCTGTTTCCCAGTCCCAACCTGGAGCTACACACTCTGCTTCTGAGTCTACATCGGGGCAAAAAATTGCAGTGCCAGCAACATCACATCATTTTTGCTTTTCAATAGATTTAAGAAGTATTCACAATCTGGAGGTTGCATTTCCTGTCAACTGCATTTTAAGGTATGGTATATTTTTACTGATGGCCTTATTGTAAGGAAGGGTAATGGATTTTGTGGTTTTGTTCCCTTCCCCCATTCTATTTTTTAAAAGGAAAACTACACACCATTTGGAATATTGGTAGTACAGGCAATTTGATACCTTCTCAAGTAGCCAAGTAGCTGCCTTTAAACACTTTGAAATGTTGGACTTGCTCATTGCAAATGAAAATTGGGATAAAACCTAGCATTACTGATACTGGATTTTCCTATGTGTCTGTCACCTGAAATGTTTAGACTGTTTGATTCAGATTATCATTCAGCCCTAGGAGGGAAAAAAGAGAGATTGTTTCTTAGGTACAAGTAATCTTAAGGCTTGAGTGGGGTCTTCTGCATTGTAAGGGAACACATCTTTCCACCTAATTTCTATATGGAAGAACAAATACAGAAAACGCACTCCAGTATAACAGAGCTCACAGTCAGTGTCATCATGCGTCATATGTAAGAATTTTTAGTGAAGACAAAACATTTTTCCTGTTTAGTATATTCCAGAATAATTGTGCTGATGACAGAGAATTTTTCTTGAAAGACCTAAAAAGCAAACAAATATTCTAATAAGTTGATATGTCTCATTGGTTACAATTTCAGTACATATTCTGGAAAGTTCTCTCTCTCTATATATATATAAAAGAAGTTTTTTCTGCTGGGCTACAGAATGATGTCATCATGCTCTCTGGCTGCAAAAGTTGTCAGAAAGAAGGGGGGGAGGGGGGAGAATAGCGAGCAGTGGGCACAGCCCCCTAGATTAATTGAAGATCAAAATTAACTTTTAAACAATATAGATATGCAACTAGACAAAGTTGGACTTCTAGTAGCAGCAGGAGTTTAAGTTGCTTTTTTTCAAATACAGATCTGGAATAGAATAGAAATATAACTTATTTGGTTTTGTGTGTGTTTAAACCCTGAAAACAATATGTCCTTAAATGTAATTGTAGCTAACATCCAATTTTAGATTGCCAATAGCAACAAGTTTAGTCTGATTAGAAAATTCCTTTCCTTTCCTTCACAACCTTGGATAACTATTCTCAGAAAGTAGATATTAACCATTCACAGTCATGCTGGAAGGGCATAACAAGTGGGGTTTCTCGGGTCTGTTTTGGGACCAGTTCTGTTCAATATCTTCATCCGTGATTTAGCTGATGGCATATGGAGTACACTTATTAAGTGTGCAGATGATACCGAACTGGGAGGAGATACAAGTGGTTTGGAGGACGCAGTCAAAATTCAAAATGATCTGGACAAACTAGAGAAATGGTCTGAGGTAAATAGGATGAAGTTTAATAGGGAGAAATGCAAAGTATTCCACTTAAGAAGGAACAGTGAGTTTCACCCATACAGAATGGGAAATTACTGTCTAGGAAGGAGTACTGCTGAAAGGGATTTAGGCGTCATAGTGGACCACAAGTTAAACATGAGACAACAGTTTGACATTGTTGCAAAAAAGCAAACATGATTCCGGGATGCATTAAGAGGAGTGTTGTGAGCAAGACACGAGAAGTCATTCTTCTGCTATACTTTGCACTGATTAGGCCCCGGTTGGAGTATTGTGTCCAGTTCTGGGCACCACATTTCAAGAAAGATATGGAAAAATTGAAGAATGTCCAGAGAAGAGCCACAAAAATGATGAAAGGTCTAGAAAACATGATCTGTGAAGGAAGAGTGAAAGAATTGGGCTTGTTTAGTTTAGAAAAAAGAAGACTGTGGGGACATGATAGCAGTTTTCAAGTATCTAAAAGGGTGTTACAGGGACGAGGGAGAAAAAATTGTGCTCTTGGCCTCTGAAGCTAGGACAAAGAACAATGGGCTTATATTGCAGCAAGGAGGCTTAGGTTGGACATTAGAAAAATCTTCCTAACTGTCAGGGTGGTTAAACACTGGAATAAATTGCTAAGGGGCTTTGTGGAATCTCCATCACTGGAGATAATTAAGAGCAGGTTGGGTAGAATCTGTCAGGGTATGTCTACACTTGCACCCTAGTTCGAACTAGGGATGCAAATGTAGGCATTTGAAATAGTTAATGAAGCGGGGATTTAAATATCCCACACTTCATTAGCATGATCTCGCCAGCGCGTTACTCCGATCAACAGCTGTTTCGAAAGTGAAAGTGTGCGCCGGGACGCATTAGTTCGAACCAAGCCCCTTGGTTCAAACTAACATTACTCGTCATTTTTTGTAACCAAGGGGTTTGGTTCGAACTAACGTGACCTGGCACACACTTTACTTCAAAACAGCTGTTGATCGGAGTAACGCGCTGGCGAGATCATGCTAATGAAGTGTGGGATATTTAAATCCCCGCTTCATTGACTATTTCAGATGCCTACATTTGCATCCCTAGTTCGAACTAGGGTGCAAGTGTAGACATTCCCTCAGGGATGATCTAGGCCAGTATTTCTGAACTTTATAAAAAAAAAAAGTACCCCCTTTAATTTTTTTTAAAAAAGGTACCCCTAGTACCTACAGTTTTTTCAGGGGCACAAATTTTTTTCTGCCATTGAAACACATTTGTTTAAACAACTTAATCATAGCCGGGCAAGTGATGACATGTTTGGGTGTAAAAAGTACAAAAATAATAAAGTGCTGTAAAATTTAAAACAAATTCAGTTTTCTCCAAATTTACTCATACAGCTGGTTGAGAAACACTGATATAGATAGTGCTTGGTCCTGCTGTGAGGGTAGGTGACTGGACTCAATGACATCTTGAGGTCCCTTCCAGTTTTAGGATTCTATTATTCTAACCCTTAGAGAAACTAGATATATGCTTTAGAAGACTAAAAATATTAAATATAACTTTCATAGTCCTGAAGATTAGCAATAGCTATTAAGGGTGTTTGTGTTCAAACGGCAGTGAACTTTAGCTCTGATCCTGCAATCTTAAAGTAAATGGGAGCCATTGAACATCAAGAGCCAAATTTCTGGTTTTGGATATGCTTGTACAACTGACATTGCCCTTAGATATTCCCAAAGTAGAATTGGTTCTAAGCTACTAGTATCATCAACTGAAAATGATTTCCCTTGGCTTTCTTGCCTACCAGAATATTACTTGAGTTAAATTTGCATTTTTACTTTTCTCATTAGGTACTCGTATCCATTTTTTGGGAGTGCAGCACCCATTATGACAAATCCTCCTGTAGAAGTGAGAAAAAACATGGAAGTTTTTCTACCCCAGTCCTATTGTGCATTTGATTTTGCAACTATGCCTCATCAACTTCAAGACACCTTGTTCAGGTAACACTTGTATTTTTATCCTATTACATGGACCATTATTTAACCATGAGTAGTCCTATGGTTCATTGTTTTTAAAAATACAGACCAACATGGCTACTGCTTTGAGACTTGTCACCATTATTGAACTGTTTTTAATATAAAACATACTTCTAAATCTAAGCTTTTGGGTGGGGATGGGGGGTTGGAATAATTTTAAGTTAGTAACCAAGAAGATGTTTATTATTTTTTTTTGCACTTTGAGGCTTTATAGTCTAACACAGTGTTTCTCAAACTGTGCTCTGCGGAACCCCAGGACTCCGCGAGACATTTCCAGAGGCTCCGCAAGGTTGACAAACTGGAAACATCGATAGGTACAACACATACAATCAGTGGACCGCTGGGGCTCTGCATACATTTTTACACATGTAAAGGGCTCCGGAGCCCAAAAAGTTTGAGAACCGCTGGTCTAACATATAAAGGTCAGATATGTGCAAACCTTACTCATAGTTGTGAACATTTACTTACACAGGAAATGTTTTGATATCAATTGGAGCATCTCTTTGGGTTAATTCTTACTAAAGTAAAGGGCTACATAATGTGGTCTGAAGAAATCAATTTTGCTTTCACAGAATCAGAGCAAGATTTCACCTACTCTGACTGGATTTGAAGGCTGGTTATCAAACTGACCAAAACCTGTGAAACACAGTTGCTGTATAGGTTACAATGAATGTCTCCCATAAACATAGCTTCCTTTTGTAGGCATGTGAATAGGGTAGAGAATAGCTTTCATGCATACTCCCACCATAAAGCCTAAAACAAAGTGGTAATTTGAAAAGGAAGGTAGAAGAGAGGTTTTGTAGATGCAGTAACTAAATCGTAGATTGATATTTTCGGTAATGGAGAAAACTTACGAGATCATCCAGTTCATCATCATGTAGGTGTAGGTTTGTTCTCTGTACAAAAACTGGAAAAGGGTTGTCATCTAGCCAAAGTGATTGAATGAAGAAGGAGACACAGAGTTTTAAGTCAGTCTTTTGTGGGGAAAATGAGAGGTATAAAGGGTATATTTTTTGCTATGGTAAGAATGAGTTCCTACTGCTAGATTGCGTTTGGGAAATTATTTTTGTAAGAAGCTCCCTTCTTAAGTGAGAATATGTTTTCTTTTGTCTGGCCTACTGATGCCAAAAATGTTTCTGTATTCCAGATTACCACTACTGGTTGAATTGTGGCACAAAGATAAAATGACTAAAGATATACTTCTGGGAATTGCAAGGCTGCAGCTTTCAAATGTTTTGGGCTTGGAAAAAACCCGATTCTTGGGAACTAATGGAGAACAATGTTGGCGTCAGACCTGTAGTGAAACAGTTGGTGTTATGGCAGCACAAGGGTAAAACCTTTTAAAAACATTATTTGCATTATATCATGTCTTATCTTTTTAATTTTATTTGTTTAATGTTTTTTCCTGATAAAATAACCCTTCTTCCCTCTAGTTACTCTTTATTATACTTCGAAAACCTTTTAGTCTTAATTTTCATTTGAAGTATTAGATCAGATTAAAAAGGACAAAACTTGTCATTCATAGAATTTTATGAATAGCTGTAATACATACTTGATTCAGAGGGGGTAGCCATGTAAATCTGTTTGAGCAAAAATAAAGAGGAGTCCTGCAGCATCTTAAAGAGTAACACATTTATTTGAGCATAAGCATTGGTCGTCTGGAACCGACTTTGAGCTGCATGAAGTGGGAACATCAGTATAAACATATAAAAGATGGGTGTGTTACATTACTAAGCAAAGGACCAGTGATCATGCGGTCAATTCAGTCAGGGTGCATAGGAATCATTCCCAACAGTTAATGAGAAGGAGTCAATATCAAAAGAGGGAAAATTACATTTAATAGTGAACTAGCCACTCAGTCTCCATTCTGATAGTGTCAAGTTTGTGTATGAAGATTATTTCTGCAGTTTGACAGTGCAATCTGGTTTTGAAGGTTTTCAGGAGAAAAAAAAATAGCTATTTCAAGTCTTACTGAATATCAAGGCAGTTAAAGTGCTTTCCTGGTTTTTGAATGTTACAATTTGTGATGTCTGAATTGTGTCTGTTTAGTCTTTTGCATAGAGTTGTCTGGTTTGGCCAATGTACATGGCAGAGCAGCATTGTTGGCACATGATATAACACATAGTAGATGTGCAGGTAAATGAGCCTTTTATGGTGTTGCTGATGTGATAAGGTCCTGTGATGCTGTCATCTGAGTAAATCTGCAAACAGAGCTGTCAATGGAGTTCACTGCAGGGTTTGGGTGCTGGGTTAGTGTTTCTGTGGTGTGGGGTTTAGTTGCTGGTGAGTATTTGGTGGTATTGCACAAAACTTAATCACTAGTAGATAGCAGTTTACCTTAACATCTCATCTTTTTATGTAAACTACTTACATTTATATATTTTTTCAAGGTTATGTTAGAATGTTCTGAGAAATTAATATAATATGCTTACATACTCCACACTCCAATTTATTTAACGTCTTTCTTAGGAAAAGAGAATATAACATAGGCATAGTTTGACTTTTATATTTGGGAGGTCCATTCCAGGCAGGCCAGTGGAGCCACTTGTGGGAGGAGAGTGGGTATTGTGCAAGTATTACTATAGTTCTGTAAATTAATAGTGTTTTAGCACTCACATATGCAGCATTGTATGCTTTGTAAGAGATTTGATCAGACTACACTGTAAGCTTGTTAAATCTTATTTCCTTGCTGTTTTACATTACCTTGCCAGAAATGAACGACACTGAGTTGTGGCAGCTTCCAACAAAAATGAATAATCATTCTTGTGTAATGCAATTTGCAGGGCAAACAGTCGGATAGCAGAACTTTCTTACAGTGTGACTCTAGAAGATTATGGGCTTGTGAAAATGCATGAAGTTTTGGTGTCAGATTCTTCTCAGGTAAGTTGTACATAAGCATAATCCTTTTTCTTTCAAGTTTTAAAGTTACTTTTTCATTCAAATTACATTATTTTTATAATTAGTGTTTAGGTGCTGGGCAGCAGCAGGCACCTCCACCACAGCCTCATCATGTCCCAGAAACTGAACCAGAGCCACGAGAAACTCTTGAATACAAAGCAGCACTTGAGTTAGAAATGTGGAAGGAAATGCAAGAGGACATATTTGAAAACCAGGTCATTACCTATAACTAGTTCGAGTTAACGTTTGACTACTACGTGTAGCCACGGGCAGTTAGTTCGGACTAGGGGGATTTAAAAATGACACCCAGACGGGAAGTTGCAAATAAAGCCCAGGATATTTAAATCCCGGGCTTCATTTGCAACATCAAATGCCTACGTTAGCCTCTGTAGTTCGAACTAGGGGGCTAGTGTAGACATGCCCTTAGGTATTATCTAACTTGCTGTCACTATTCAACTTGCATATTGTTTTCATTCTCTAAATCAGTGTTTCCCAAACTATGGGCCATGGCCTGATACCAGGCCATGAGGAAAAAAATACCAGGCCTCAGCGTGGTTGCCGGGAGGGGAGCAGAGCAGAGTGGGGTGGGGTGGGCTGGGGGGGACTGGCTGCTGGGAAGCAAGTTTGGGGGTAGTAGGGCTGTCACGCGGAGATGGCAAGGGAGAGGGAGTGGGGGCGGGCAGCCGGTGGAAGCAGGTTTGGGGGTAGCGGTGCTGTCCCGCGAAGTTTGAGGTGGGCGGGCGGCGGAAGCAGGGTTGGGAGCAGCGGGGCTGTCCAACGGAGATCGGGGAGGGCAGGCGGCGGAACCAGAGCTGGACAGAGTGGTGGGGGGAGGCTGGGGGAGATCAGGAGGATGGGAGAACCAGCTGCAGAAGCAGGGTTGGATGAGGTCAGCGGGGCTAACCAGGGGAGATTGGTGGGGAGCGGAGGGGAACCGGAAGCAGGGCTGGACGAGGGCAGCAGGACTGGACTGAGGAGATCGGGAGCTGAAGGGGGAAGTGAGACTGGCCCGGGCACATGAGTGAGTCCGGCTCCAGGGATTCCATGTCTTCCTTCCCCTGCCCCCTCCACCCCTCCACATACCCTCCCTCGAGTAGTTGCGAACTGTCTGGCTGGTAGACACTCACACAGCATGAGCACATCTGCCAGACAGGCAGTTCGCAGCTAAGTACCAGCTTTCTATCCATCTTACAGTCCATTTATCCAATCCATAGTCCCTTAACTTGCTGGCAAGAATATTGTGGGTGACTGTATCAAAAGCTTTGCTAACACTGGCATTGGGGGCTTTGAGAGGACCAGAAACAACTTATTTGAATATTCATCATTTGCTTAATGAATATGCAAATGAATGTTACTGGTCCTCCAAAAACTTCAGTTCATGAAGTCATGTTTATATATCGTAGGCATTGTTTCAAAAATAGTGGTAATCATTCTTATAAATGATCACATATTGCTTTTAGAAGAGGTTTTTTTTATAGTTAAGGGAACCTGAGTTGAAGTAGGAAATTTTTTTATCGTAATTATAAAAATAATTATTGCATAATTATGTATGTTGTAACAGCATTTTGCAGTACAATACAAGGTGTTTCATACTGTATGTGTTTCACACACCATTAAATCAGATGCAGAGTGGTCCAGTGTATTCACTAGTTTTAACAAGTATTGTTCATAGCATCCTTCTACTAAAAGCCCTTCTTGTTCAATATTTTGCTCTCTCTGAAGGTCAGATTTCACTATGAGATACAGAATATTTGAACTGAAGTCTGCTATATGGATCTGAAATCTGAATTTCATCCCCTACTTTGGTAGTTGACATCACTCTTCAGCAAGGCTCTCCTAAATACTTAATTCATAGATGGGGTAGCTGTGCATTTTTATTTTTTATGTAGCCTTTATGTTATTGACTTCCAAAGATGAAGTGTGTTTTTGTTTTATTTTGCTTTTGTTAGCTAAAAAAGAAGGAATTGGCTCACATGCAGGCACTTGCAGAGGAGTGGAAAAAAAGGGATAAAGAAAGAGAAGCATTAGTAAAGAAAAAGGTAAGGAGAGCAACCTATGCATATTCTTTTGCAGTATAATGACTTGTATCAGCATGTATGCTCTTGGTTTGAGACTTCAGTGGGTGTGATGGGTCGGGGCCCTCAGGACTGTCACCTGATGTGCTGAGACTCCACTGAGCAGGCACGTGCTTGTTTTATGCTGAATGGAATGCCATACAGAGTAAGCTCATGTAAATTTTCCCTTTTTATCAATGTAAAGAGGGATCTGTACAGACTCCTCTCCCCTCCCCAGGTAAAAGTTATTTAAACTGGGTTTATTAATAATCAGAAGTGATGTATTTAATATAAAAGGTAGGATTTAAGTGAGCATAAGAGATCGCACACAGAAGAAAGATTAATAAGCAAAATAGAACACACAAATTTAAGGGTGCATTTTAATACACTAAGGGTGCGTCTATGCACCCGAAGCTTCAAAATTCAGCACTGTTTACACAGAACTTATTTCAAAATAAATCACTATTCCAAAACGTCCCTTACTCCTTATGGAATGAGGTTTACAGCGATGTTGGAATAGTGAGCCTGTTATGTTTTGAAATAACAGGCACGCTCAGAAGACATGGAATAGCTATTTTGGGATACTTCAGGTATCCTGAAATAGCGCTGCAGTGTAGATGTAGCCTAAGGGAATTGGTTACACATAAATTTTCATAATAAATATGGGTCTTATAATCTCTGCACCGGCTGTCCTTCCAGTCTGATTCAAGTGTTTCCGCCCTGTTCAGCACTCATTATGGGTGGAGTCCCAGGAGAGAACTGTTAACCTGGATTACCTCACTCTTCACTCTTAAAGGATTCCCTTTTTAGGCAAATCCTTTTTATCTCCTGAACCTGACCCTCCCCTTGTAGAAAAGTACAGAATCTAAGAGATATTCAAGCATTAGGTGACAGAGCCAGCAACCACTTGTTACAGGCTGGTTCTCACACTTACAAGAAAACTACATTGTCATGTTAATGGGGCATTTGTTCTGTGTCTGGTTTCTTTATTGTTGTATCTGATAAGCTGCTAACAGGTTTCACTTAATATGAATACATTGTTAGTAAATCTACAGTCAATATTCCTAACTTGAGATGCAGGAATGATATATGCACACAAACAGGATAAAAACATTCAGTAAATCATAACCTTTTCAATGATATCTCATAAAGTATTTTTCATAAAGCGCATTCCATTTACATCATATTCATAAGCATATTCCCCATAAAGTATGGAATGCCCTGTAATAGTGGGTTATCCATACTTCATATCATTAAAGAGCACACAAAAATCCTTTGTTCGAAGTAAATCTAGCACAAAGTCCACTGTGCTACCAATCACAGTACTGAGGTAGTGTATTAGAGAAAAATGATCTATGGCATCCTGAGTAATTTCTGTATTAGGTAGCCTTAATATTTGGCAATTTGACTTGCCTTGTGTATAGAAGTTGATCTATAATTTTGGATCCTAATACATGCATGTTTTAAGTTTCATTACTGTTTGGTTTATAAAAATATTGGAGTTTATATGTGAAGCTCCTGACTTATTGCAAATTGAGGTTTAATTACAAGAAAAAAATCAAGAAATCAGTGCTTGTTTTTAGGTGGCGGAATATACAAATTTGGAAGAACAACTTCAGAAAACCTTGGCCGATTTAGAGAAGCGTGAACGACAGCTTGTCAGTGCAGAATCGGAGGTAAAAATTACTTACAGTATGTTTAAAGAGAATGTTAAAATCTCCCATGCATGTAAACATTATCTTGAGCTTTCCTCTGGGGACAATTTTATTTCTGGTAGCGGGGTGACAAACACTCTATCTTCTCACCTACTTGATTCGTTCATTTGTGATTATGGAAAATCTAAATTGTGACCTCCAAAATAATAGTATATGTGCAGAGAAGACATCTGGCTAGATGAGCAGTTGACATTGAAAATGGTCTTGGGGAAAGATTGAGGTCATAGTTAATGTTTTCCATTATGTTACAAGTCACATGAATTTGTTAAGTGTGTTACGTACAGCTATGTCTATTAGAAATGGACATTACATTTCTGTGGTTGGCCACACTGTCTCATTGATGGCGTATTTTGATGCATGGGTGATAAAACACAGGAAAAGTTTTCTCATTAACTGGCAGTTTTCTTGGGTTTTTTGTTTTGTTTTGAGAGTGCAGGAGTTAGACTGCGGATTCACATAAAGGGTGTCTCTACACTGCAGTGTTATTTCAGAATAACGACAATGCAAGCATCTACACAGCAATTCCGTTATTTTGTTATAATATCAAAATAACAGGCAGCTTATTCCAACTTCTGTAAACCTCATTCCACGAGGAATAACTTGTCTTCCGAATTAGCTATTTCGAAATAGCTGCAGTGTGGATGCTCCACTGCTGCTACTTCAAAATAGCTCCTCACTAGGGCCATTCTAAGTAATTTCTCCCCAGGTCTTCCTGGGGCTCTTAAACTGAGAGAATGCATAGGGGCGCCTACCTCAGACTAATTTTGAGGCTTCCTTGTAGTGTGAATGCGCTATTTTGGAATATATCTTACACAGATGTACCCAAACTGATTTTAACAATGTCTCTGCTGAAGTTTCTTGGGTGCCTTTTTTTCCTTCGAAAGGACCCAAATATTTGGGAAGGAGGGTGTGTGTGGAATATGGAGATGGGGTATACTTAACAGAGGGCAAAAGTAGACAGATATTAAGTGCCTCTTGTGCGGTGTCTGTACTAGTGGTCTAAAGTGAGGACAAGTTTTCCAAGACCTCACATCCACAAATAGTTCCTCTTGTCAGCCTCCCCTCATAAGGATGGCGTTTTAGCACTCATCAGCTTTACACAGTAATGGCAGCATCCTGTCCTTGTAAAAGTGGTTCTGAATTGGGGATGAGGGCATCAATCTTCCCTCACAGACATTCTCCCCCGCCCCCTCCCCCGCCCCAACTCCTTCTTTAGAGACGCCAGTTTCCTCTTCAGAGATCGTTTTATTCTCTGAGCAGCCTCGTCAGGACCACCAGATGTTTACCTGCTGGCAAATGAGCAGAAAGTTGCTGGGTCAAGAAGTTGCTTGGAAAGGAGACCTACTCTCTTAACAGCTTCAGAAAGAGACTCCTCCACTTTTCCTCCCTCTTCCTATCTAACACTTAAGAATGCTAAGAAGGGCCTGGATAGGCTGTAACTGTCCATATTTTGGCAACTAGATAAAATGTGTCTGCTGTATATCTCCTAGCTTGACATCCCCAAGAACAAGTGAGAAAGAGGGGCATCAGCACCTAATAGTGCTGCTGGGTCCCCGAGGATCTTCCACAGGAAGTGAGAAAGAGGCCTAATTGTAGAACTGAGGTGGAGAGGATTTCTTCTTTTGCCTTTTCTGTTTTCTCTTTAAGCAGTGTGGATGGATATACTGGTTTATCACCCTCAGCATGTTAAGATGTTGGTATCTTTGGCCCATAACAGGCAGGTGAACTAGAGAAATTAGATGTGAGATTATTTTGAGTCTGGTAAGGATTAGTGGATGATTCTAGTCCATATTGGAGATACAGAAATCAAGGAAGTAAAAGTAGTACTTCATAGATATGAGCCTTAAAGAGTGAATACAAATGTACTGAACGTTTATTAAAAAGAATGCTAAAGATTTTAATCAAGACTTTCAACCGAAGATCCTAATCCTGTTTATTATTGTATTCAAAAATGTTTTAATTATAAGCTCCAAAGAGTAAAACGAGAGTTGCAAGCACAGCATGAACGAAACTTTCAAGAACTGCAGGATTCTGTGCGGCGAATTAAAGAAGAATGTGCACATCAAGTTGAGTTGGAGAGGTCAAAAATTAAACAGCTGGAAGAGGACAAAGTCCGTCTGCAACAGCATGTAAGTAAAGAAATTACCTGCCTTCCTTCTTGAGTGGAAATAAATATATTAATAATGTTAAAAAGTTGTATATTTGAACACAAGCACGTTCTGGCAAGGTGGAAATAAACACTTGGGTCCCAATCGTTCAGTGAGCTTGAAGCAAGCATGGGGTCCACTTATAAACAGAGCAAGACCTTTGTTTTACTATTTAGATGTGATAGCCTCAAAGAGCACATAATGCTGAAAACCAAATTGAAATTACAGTGGTGTATTGCAGAGGTGGGCAAAAGGGCCTCAACGGGCTGGATGCGGCCCACCAAATGGGTGGATCTAGCCCACGGAGGTCCTGCTGCTCCCCCGCCCCCAGGCCAATTAGGACCTGGAGTGGGGGAGCATCCAAAACCTCCTTCTCTCTGCCCCTAGCCTTCAAGCAGCATGCAGTGGGAGCAGAGCGGAGAAGGCTTTGTGCGTCTTACTTGGCCTGGGGAGGGGAGCATGCGAAGCCTCCTTCTGCTCTCAGGGCAGGGTGGAGAGCGGAGGAGGCTTCATGTGCTTGCCCACCTCCAGGCCAATCGGAGCCTGGGGCAGGGGAGCTGCGTGAAGCTTCTTATGCCCTACCTCAGCCCTGCGAGGAGCCCACGGCTTGTGCTTCTCCCAGGGCAGCAGGAGGCTTCCTGTGCTCCCCCTCCCTCAGGCTCTGGAGCATGCCAAGCCTCTACTAGGGCATGGGTGCCTAGTGGAAAGGGGGGGCAAGGGGGCTCCCCCACCTCCAGACCATGATTGGTCTGGGGGTGTGGGAGCCACATCTCCCCCCCTTCCCACTAGACACCCATGCCCTGGAAGAGGCTTGGCCCGCTCCCCCACCCCCAGGCTAATCAGGTCTGTATTTAGGAGTGATGCTACTGAAGTGTAGTTGTATATTTCCAAAATGTTGCTGAAACAATTGGAATTTTTTACTGTCATCTCTAACTACCTTGACTGTTCATTTCATTTTACAGCTGAATCATAAAGCAATGCTCAAATAGTTAAATATTTTAAAATGGTAAAAATAATTTTGAGAATACATTATTTTGTGGCTTTCATTTTTAATCCTATTTCAACTTTCACAATAGTGGAAGATGCAGATAACTGACTTCTGTCTCCATAAAACATTTTTTTTTTCATTCAGCACTGTTATCTCTCTGTCATGTGAATAGGGAGCAACAATTTTTGTCGAATGCTACAAAGGATGTTGTAGAGAAGGATGTTGCTACAAAGGTCCATCAATGGCTATTAGCCAGGAAGGGTAGAACTAGTATCCTTAGCCTCTGTCTGGAAATGAGTGACAGGAGAGGGATTATGGGAGGATTACCTGTTGTGTTCACTGCCTCTGGGGCATCTAGTATTGGCTACTATCAGCAGACAGGATACTAGGCTGACCCAGGATGGCCGTTCTTATGTTGGTACCAGAAAATATAACCTGTTGTTTTCTTTTTTAATTTTAATAGTCTTATACCTAACAATTCATGTTCAGCCATTTTACAGCAGTCTCTCAATTATTGTCTCTGGAAATACACTATAGAATAGTGCTTAAATATTTTTCAGTGTGTTTATCTCATTTGAATAGAATTTTTTCTTTTTTAATGTGTTTTTCATTTCTTAACATTAGCATATAAAACGTATAAATCAGTGGTCACCAACCAGTCGATCGGGATCTACCGGTAGATCTTGGAGCCTCTGGCAGGTGATCCTGACTGGTTTGGCTGGGAGGCTGTCAAGTTCTGGTGCTTCAGCTGTCCCTCCCCCTACTGCCCTGCTGCTCCTGGCCAGAGCCTCAGAGCTGCTCCTACTTGTTGGGCAGGGTTGGGGGGAGAGGCAGGGGAGTGCTGATGTCACTCTGGGAAGATGGGATGCAGGGGAGGAGGACAGAGTGAGGAGGGCGAGGCCTCAGTGAAGGGGAGGGGCAGGACCTTGAAGAAGAGGTGGGGCAGGGTATTTGGGTTTGAGGTACATCCTGGATTGACAAATTCAAAAAATGATCTTGTGCTTAAAAAGGTTGGGGACCCCTGGAGTAAATTGAATGGTAATCCCACAGTAGCACTGACTAATGAAGAGAACCACCTGTATCTTGCTAGAAGAATTTTTTATATTAGAAACACCTGGATTTTTTTTCAGTTTTGTAGTGAAAAGTATGTCTTGCATTTTCATTTAGCGTTAGCTTGGTTTTAAGATATTTTTAATGTGAAATTTAATATGAAAAGTACTACCTAGTGTACCAAAGTTGAAGGTACATTTTTCCATTGTGGCATTGAAGAGAAATTGAAAATAGCCCAACTGTTGAGTCAGTATTTTATTATTATTATTATTATTATTATTATTACAAGTATGACCTCTATTTAATCCTCCATGTTTAATCATTTAAAAATAGAGCCCAACTTCAAAACTCATTCTCTTGCATTCAGCCATCATTTTAAATTGTGGATATATCACCCAAGCATACATTTCAGTTTTCACAGTAATCATATTAACTATTTTTAATTGTTAGACTATTTTATAATATTTAGAGCATGAAATACTTTTTTATAGGTATGTAACCTGGTCATGTCACACCTCTGACCATATCCTAAGATAATATATTGGTTCATCACCAGAGGCCCAGTCAAGTCATAGCTTGGGATGCTCAGGGACAGATTCAAATGATTTAAAAGGCTGCCGCAGCAAGATTTCAATAGCAAATGACTTACTCAAAGTACAACTCATACTCAATCTGGTCTTTAGTGTACAAAGCTAAGCTCAGATGATCATTAAATATATCCCTAAAATTCATTAATATTAGGGAATGTGGTGAGCCAGAAGACTCACCTGATTAGTAAAATATTAGTTGCCACTCAGAATTAGGGATGTGAATGGGTAACTGGTTACCTGGTAAGCACCACCTGGTTAACTCTTACTTGGGGGCAGCCCGCACGGGCTCACAGTCTGGGAGCCTGCATCCATATACAGCGGATTGGCTCCCTTCTGACCCATGCGAGGTTGCTGACTCCCAGCTCATGCAGGCTTGGAACCATTAGCTCAGCACAGGATCAGAAGCAGCTGGGCTGCCTCCCCCCCAGCCATGGTGGAAGGTGGGGGAACTGCTCCAGCCTAGTAGGCTGATGGAGTGGGTTCCAGCCCATGAAAGTTTATGCCCAAATTTGTTTAGTCCTTAAGGTGCCACCAGACTCCTCATTGTTTTTGCTAAATCTACCTGGCTACCCCTCTGAAACTTCTGTTATTGAAGTGAACCAATTTAGTTATCTAATTAAATAATTTTCTAAGACTAATTTATATCATTATTTTATGTATGCCTATTCCCAATATTTAATTTCACTGTTTTGCCAGGCATTTTCTCTACATTTCTAATCTGCTGTTCTGGAAGAAGATTGAAATTGTGAATTATTTGAAGATATGATTTGCATAGCTATTATGATGGAATTATATGGTAATATGTTGATTAAGGCAGCATCTTTTAAATTATCAATTTTTTTTCTATAAAGCAAAACACCTCTGTTTTTGCAACTATTTGAGTATCCATGTAAGTCATTTGCTACTGAAATCTTTCTGTGGCAGCCTTTTAAATCATTATTTGTCAGAAAAAATATTTCTTCTTCCAGATATTCCTGGACAAGCTAAACTGGTGAAGTTGAGTCGATAGTAAACATTTGATATAGCAGATACTAAAGTAATTAACCTTTTTAAAGTTACAGCCATGTGTACAAACTTGATAAAACCACATTATTGGTTGTAATTCTATAGAATTACATTCTCCCTGGAGAAATGTGATGAACAGCTATATTTAGGCTTTTCTTTCCTATGTAGCAAAAACTTTCCTTAAACTTTATTTCTGTTATGCTCTCTCTATATCCCAAAATCAAGAATTCATTACTTATAAAACATTCATTACTTATAAGACACTGAAAGATTCACATTTGTATCAGTTACGTTACTGAAGTAAAATTTTAGGTCCACGGACTAATTTTAAGTTCTGTGACACATTCCATTCCCCTGTGCATGTGTTTTATTGTGAAATGAGTATATTCTAATGAATTTCATATGTGGGTGTTTCTAATGCAGTTTTATGAAGCAGAAAACAAGTATAAAGTTTTGGAAAAGGAGTTCCAGCAGTACAAGGAACAGCAATGCAGCAAACCAGAAATTCGGTTACAGTCAGAAATAAATCTTCTCACTTTAGAAAAGGTACCATTGGACTTCACTAATCTTGTATAATGATGTTCTAATTGGGTAACGGAGATGAAAGAATAATCTGCTTCCAACATTAAATGGGTTATTCTCTTCATATTTTTTTCTTTTCCAACAATTTCTTTAGCCACTAAATATGTAGAATCTAATGGTGATCTGGGAATGTTTTAGAGAGAGTTTGACGGATGGGAGGTGGTGTGGAAATCTGAGCAAGTTTAGGTAGTTGATCCAGAGGATAAAAATACCATTGCTTGTCTCACGTGTATCATTGGTTTCCTGGTGCATTTGTCCAGAAATTCTTTATCAATGAGGCCCATGAAGGTTGGATCATTGGGGAGCCATCCTAATATCCAGGGCTGTTCACATGGTGAGACCATGGCAGCAAAGATGGCGGTGTTAATGTCGCAGAATGTCTGGAGAAAACAGGCCCTTTATGTGGGGAGTGATTTGAGGATGGTTTCTATGATTCTTGATATTTCTTTAGTAAGAGTGCCCTGGCCACATATGATGGGTCTGCCTGGGTTCCCTTGCTTTTTAATCTTCAGAAGCATTTTGAAGGTCCCATGGGTGAAGGAACTTATTCTAGAGATTCTCTTGGGGTTGTTTGGGAAAGGAGTTAATTATATCCTTACATTTCTGTGGTATGAGGTAATCTTTGAGTTCTTTATAGATAATATCCTGCAAGGAGGTTTAACGGTAGTTCGAATGAGGAGCTTTAATTCGAACTACCTAGTCCGTGCCGCGTGTAGCCGTGAGCAGGTAGTTTGAACTATGGGACATTTAAAAATGGCGGCGCCCGGGAACATGCAAATGAAGCCCGGGATATTTAAATCCCAGGATTCATTTGCAAGTTCGAATGCCTACATTAGCCACCCTAGTTCGAACTAGGTTGGCAGTGTAGACATACCCTGAGAGTTGTTGGTTGCCCTTATTGGCATAGTTGTAATAGTTCAAGATAACAACGGTGCCCCCTTTGTCTGCTGATTTGATCATGGTTTGGTGGCTGACCTTCAGTCACTATGTAGCAGTCTTCTTCATGGTTGAGAGAATATGGTAGATGTGACGTTCATGGAGTTCACAGTTATTTGTTTTTGTTTTCTATGAAGCAATAAATGTAACAAGCAAGTGTATGGTTTGTCCACTGGGAGGTCTCTGGTCACATGATTCTTTTTCTTGTGACTTTATGGAAGAGTATGTGTTAGTGTGGGTAATGTCATCTTTGTGGAAGAATTCTTTGAAACTGAGTCAGCAAAAGATTATCTGCATGTTAGTGATGGAGTTGAAGCTAAAGCCTTTGGTGACTACTAAACTATTCAGCTCTTAATTGATAGATGATTTTGGGATGTCAGGTAGTGGCCTGTGGGTTGGGCAACTGTAATCAGTTCCATTTTCTGTTTTAGTGTAGGATGGCTCTTGTAGGGTTTTTTAATAGTTGCTTTGGATTGCGTGCATGGTTTCCTGATTCTTTCCCACCTGCCTTCTATTCTGTGGGAACATCTGATGATTACTTGTTTAAGGTTGTCCTTTCTGGATTATGTGAGATGTAAAAGATATCTCTTCACTGTTTTCTGAAGTTCTTCTGCAGAGCTGTTCAACATATTTAGAATTGTACATAGTGGTCAGAAGGTTATGGGTGTTGAGTCTTCTGGGGATATTTTGTTTCTTCATTTTCTCAGGAAGTAACTATTGCTAATAAGTTAGGCTTCCTAGTTTGAGGTAGTATAGCCATGCCAGATGTTCTGCTATAGAATATCCTATCTTTCTTAACAAAATGTAATTATTTTTTAAATTTCTGCGACTAATTTGTAGTATAAAGTTTAATACTTCTGTATATCGTGATAAACTTCTCTGTGATAAATGTAGATGATTCATCATTCTAAAGCAGTGACATTTCCCATTTATATTTCATTTTCTTTGAGTTATATCCAATGCTTAGAAAAGAAATAGTCAGGAGACAGATTGAACTATTCTGTATTTGAACTTCTTTTCAGATCCTAGCGAGTACACCTTCTTGTCCACCCATTAGGACCACTGTGAGGAGAATCAAAGCCTCTGCTGCTGTACATCATTGGGTGTTTCAAGCTATTGGAGCATGAATACAGTCCAGATACTGCCCCAATATTGAGGTCCTTATGCACACTCTCAAGGTTCAGACTTTGTATCTGATACCTCCCTGTGAGTGTTAGAATTTGCTGTCCAGCCACCTACCCTCTTTGGATGCAGCATGGCCTCAGATTCCCTAGTATTTAAACACACCCCTCTCCTAGAAATCCATCCCAGATGTGAAGCTTCTTGTTTAAAATTTAATTCTGTAGGGATCTGCGGTAGTGAAGTTGTCAACACACTCCTTGTCATATATTTTTATGCTCTCTTTACTTAGTAGATAAAACACAGAAGAGTACAGGTCATATAAAACATCTTTAAACACAGTGTCCCCTCACTAGCTCACCATTTTCTTGGGAGTCTTTGGGGGACCCATCTGTGTTCTGTCAGGCAAACACTGGCAAAGGCCTCCACCACAATCTCCCTGGGTTATGCTGCCCCAATAGCAGCCTTCTCATTTTAATGTGCCACAAAAAAATTTCTTTCCAGTTTCCTTATGAGTACTGTTGTGGGTTGCTGCTGGCATTTACCTGCTTTTTAGCTGTCCTGGCAACTTTCCATTACTCTACAACAAACACTCCCTTTCCTTCATCCTCTGCTTGTCTCAAATCTCTGTTTGTCTCTCTCTGTGTCTCCACTAGAGCTATCCTATTGTTCCAAGATTCTTTATGTTGAATCGATGATTGATGGTACATCACTCACCATTGGTTCTGGCCTGGCAGAGATATATCACAATTATGATGATCCATGGTGGATCCATATATTTCAGCTTTTCATGACACAATAATTTTGACACAATTTTACAAAATCCTCAATGATTCAAAATAGGAATGTTAAATTTCGATTAATCAACTATTCGATTAGTTGATGGGAGGAGGTGGAGTGCTCACTATTCCAGCTGTACCTCTGCCTTTTAAATATAGTAAGAGTCACTACGCGGGGCTCTTGCTACACGTCAAAGGCAGCAGGGAACACTGCTTAGGTCCCTATTCACCCCATCTCCGCTTGCTCTGGGTCCCGACTGTTGTGCTTCTGCCTTGGAAATGTAGCAAAAGCCCCACCCGTGCTGTTTCCCCACTTTGCCTCTGCCTCCCCCCACCCCCATGGAGACAGAGCTGGGGGGAGCCAGCTTTTAAGCCAGCTCTCCCCAGCACTAACTCCTGCTCTCTCCCCTCCCCCCTTTGCTGCCTCTCTCTGGGTATGTCTACAGTACCCCGCTAGTTCGAACTAGCGGGGTAATGTATGCATACCGAACTTGCTAATGAAGCCCGGGATTTGAATTTCCCGGGCTTCATTAGCATAAAGCCGGCGCCGC